GGTCGGCGAGCACCCATAGCGAAATCACCGTGGCAGAGTCGTCTGGGTAACCGCGCATCGTTCGCGATCACTAGATGGCCAATCCGTCACAGTTTCATTTACTAAGAATGGATGCTAAGAATTTCGGTCCGTCTCAGTAATTTCCTGTCCAGTATCATGTTCTGCCATCTCAGCCTCAGTATTCTGTGAAGGCAGTTGAGATGGAAGTGGATGAGCTTCCTGACACCTCGTTAGATTAAGTCCACAATGTGGTCTCAATTATATTTTGGGGACAATTTCTGCATTCAGACTAGCTAACAAACCATATTAGACTTCTTTTAAGTGAACGCTTCGGGGGTTATATTGATGTCATTGGATACTTTCTAATGGCGTTGACTACCTAATTTGGATTAAGTATTACATTTGAAAATGAGCCTTTATTCGCCTACATATGGTGATTTTCTCACTTATGCTTATTAGCCATAATTGGATATGAGCTTCTTTTAGGTTGAGCATAGCTGTCATTGAAATTTGTCGTTATGCATGTTCTTTTTTACATGATATTGGTAGTTGTGTATGCACTTACTTATAAGCGCTTATTAATGTATGTTTATATGCATACATTACGAGCTTGATGCTATTCCATGCAATTACACTTTTGCAAACAGTTGTCATATTTCGGTTTGTATTCATCCTCAATTGTAGGCATGGTTTAAAGTTTTATTAAATTCGCCATTTTCTTAGTCACTTTGTACAAAATGACACTCTGTGGATATTTATTTTTTTGTCTTTTGTATTTCATTTTGCGTGGCCCTCTCATTGGGCCTTGTGATGTAGTTAAAAAACATTTTCGCAGCTGTAAGACTTTGTTCACCTTCTTTATTCAGAGAGACTCTGCCCATGAACATTTATTCACCCAACACGTGTTACCCCTGTTTCGATAACTATCATAAAATTTGTGGGTGGGGTGGTGGTGAGTGAGGGTGCTATAGATTCCCTTCTAATGAGAAGCTAATAATCTAGTTGTAAGTTAACGGTGAGACATTGGGGGAATTATTCCACACACAACAAACAGAATTGGTTATACCACAAATAACATGGAGAAACACGGAACCTGCCGAAGGGCCCAATGTTCGCGGTTTCTTTAACATGGACAAAACATAGGTGAAAGACAGCCGGAGTTCCTTGTTAATATCTACATCATGAGTGTTACGGGGCCTCGTACAGAAATCTCAAGGAGAGATGGAAGAGGCGAGGACCGATCAGAACCGACTGACACACACGACGGCCGCTTACTGGCGTGAACGTCAAGCGATTATCGATTTTTAAGTGCACTTAAGATGTTAGCTGTGTTGGCGCATTTGCTCTTCGTCTGCGCCTGACGACGACTCGGGGAACCGGCGTCGAAAATTTGCACAATAAACTTCCTTTCCCAAAGCACACATTCGACTTCGAATTATATTTCTTGGGATGCCTACCTTCCAACATATATATATATATATATGGTAAAGGTATTATACCGTACTCCCGACATAGATACTTGCTAAAAGCCCAGACACGTGTTTCGCCGATATTCTGCCGCTGCGTAACACAGATGCGAGGGGTTCGGCTCTTCAGTGGGACCCCCAGCGTTCTCTAGCGGTTTCTGGTATATGAACTCCAGAGAATAATCAGGTGAATAATTTCAGAAATTAATCAGTGCAGGACTTGGAGTTAAATCTCCGGGACATGACTTTTTAGGGTCAGCACCGAAATTTCAATGAACATTTGAGTCGAAGACAATCAACTACTGTGGAATAACCACGTAATGCCCATTCTACAAACAAGTAGTACTACGAGTAGTATGAATTTCATATGGTAAAGGTATTATACCGTACTCCCGACATAGATACTTGCTAAAAGCCCAGACACGTGTTTCGCCGATATTCTGCCGCTGCGTGACACAGCTGCGAGGGGTTTGGCTCTTCAGTGGGACCCCCAGCGTTCTCTAGCGGTTTCTGGTATATGAACTCCAGAGAATAATCATATATATATGAATCATATATATATATAATAATATATATATGAATGCATTTTTATGTCAATAGTAGTGAAAGTTTGATCATCAAATAACACATGAAAGAAAGAAAGAAACATTCAAACGGAGGCGAGCCCTCATTTTTAAGTCACCGAATTCGGCTGCCCATCTTCAGATGCTGAGGAGTCCTGTGCATAGTCCTCGTTCTATGTTATTTGAGTTGCTGATGAGTTGTTTATGGCGTTTGTCAGCAGCGCCACCTATGGATGTTAACTGGACCCCCGTCTTCGTTAACAGTGGCGCTAGTTACTGGCTTTCACAATCTGAAGCCCTGTCAGTCTCCTTTCAAGTCTGCTTTCAAGATCATATGGCGGCTGGGAAATGTTTGCAGCTTGAGCACTACAATAATCAGAGCCAGGCCTTATTAGCAGGACGAGACAGAAGACACTAGAACCGTGAGTTGCAGTTTCAGGCACCAGTGTCTGCTAGGCAGGCCAGGACTTGCCCTGACGATGTCAATTCATGCCCGATAGAGGAACCCTGTGACGACAGCTAATTTCATTGGCTTCTGGGAGCAAGTTTCCAAAGGTCGTGCTCAAATGGAGTACGGATGGCTGTGACTGCGTGAATGTATGCGTATGCACCCGAACGCATCCATTCCCACCCTTTCCGCTAAGTTCCTACGAAAGTATTAACTTACCATATCTGTTGAAGGTGGAGTTGTTAAGACAAGCTGGTACTCAGTAGATAGAAGCTAACTGCCGTTTCTGCAGGTTTTCGCGCGTAAAACGTGGATGTGCAACATGGCGCCCAGAACGGGTCACTGTAGATGAGCTGGACCAAAACGGGACCAGACTTGGTCACGAAGTACGTTAGTCGAGCTACGAAGGATCTCACGTGTCCATGCCATCTGCGGTAGCACATCTAGGCGTGGACTTCAAACGTCATCAGCGACTGCCCCCAGTCCTACCACCAGACAGACAATAGGCGCAAACAGTGGGCTAGTGAATGGTAAAGGGGGAGAGTGAGGTCGACTTTAGGAAGTTCATCCACACGGTCCTTTAGAACATTCCTCACTCTACTGTATTTGACGCTCTCGATTCTACCAAGACGCGCCAAAAGTCCTGGCTTGAAAGGCTGCCAAATGAGGGGATAACTCGGTTCTGTCAAGACTGAGAGTCACGCTCAGTGATTCCTTCTGGTTGTGACCTTTATAGCACCCTTATCTAAACTGAATCCGGGCCGCCCCCTATTGCGAAGGCCTGTTACATTGTGCGAGGACCAGGTTGTGTGTGGCTCGTATAGACGGGCTGTCTAGCTTTGTCAGCCACTGCACTCAAGTTTGTCTCCTGCTGTTGTGACTCTGTCTTGCTATCGAGCCGAGGTAGGTATGAAAGGAAAGAGTGCGGTAGATGCTGCGCAAGTCTGTCCCACTATAAATTACCTTACGCCCAAGTCGCCGTCTTGCGTCGTCCCCCCAACGCCCTGGGGCACACGGCAGACATCACTGTTTGCAACAGGCGAGCTGTCGGACGTTCAGCGTCTCACAAAAATGAACTGTCCTTTCCCGCTCCCTAGAGGCAAACTTAATATATTATGCAAATCCCATTGATATGGTGTAAGATTATTCTTCTCCATGGTCCACTTAGCGGTTCCGTAAGTTGAGTCAACAGGATTCGTGAGAATACTAGAAGTGCCCCAGGGTAGAATGGATCACACCTTAGGTGGTCACATGCTCTGCAGTAGTCAAAACACGCGCCGATTAGAAACTTCAATAAATGAGATACATATCCAAAATATTTAATGTACGTGATAGTGACGGTAGAGTGTCATCCCTTCCTACTCGAACGCGAATAATACAATGGATTTGCTAGCGCATGAAATGTTAACTGAAATTCTGAAATGCGTTCTCCACTTGAAACGACTACTTAAATAGGATAGCAATATTAATAACCGTGCAGCATAATCCCATGATAATTCAGTTACTTGGGGATGCGGGCCTTCGAACGAACTTCTTTCAAGCCTCCTGTAAAAACGACATTCTGCAAAAACGACTATTTAAATTGTGACATTTTCTCATTGATTTTCGATGCCCTTATAAATTCAAATGTATTTCGTGGAGAACATGCATAAAAATATTCAGTATTTTACTCATTTGGTGAAAAAACACGTCCTCTTCAAATTTATTTTTTGAAGGAAAAGTATAATTCAGTTTAAAAAACTTTTCGGATTGTCGAACAATTTTGAACATGACCTGCCGTTATATTCGCATTCAGGGTCTCCAAACTACAAGCTGTACACTTTCCGTGTGCGGAAAATCATACATTTCTATGCGGTATTAAGAGAATACAATATAGGGTTCATACAATCTAAGCGTGGCTTTTAACCATATCGTAAATTTTAAAAGCGACACCGGTAAATACAGAGACACGATGCTTTATGAACGGTCATTTAGCGGTCTTAAAAAATCTCATTATTAGAAACTTTTTAAAACCGAATTATACCTTCCTGTCAAGTATAAAATTTGAAAAAGACGTGATTTTTCACCAAATGAATAAAATACTGAATATTGTTATGCATGTTCTCCACGAAATATATTTGAATTTATAAGGGCATCGAAAATCAATGAGAAAATGTCACAATTTAAGTAGTCGTTTTTGCAGAATGTCGTTTTTACAGGAGGCTTGAAAGAAGTTCGTTCGAAAGCCCGCATCCCTGAGTAACTGAATTATCATGGGATTATGCTGCACGGTTATTAATATTGCACTCCTATCTAAGTAGTCTTTTGAAGTGGAGAACGCATTTCAGAATTTCGGTTAACATTTCACGAGTTAGCACCTCTATTCTATACATACTTACTATGACGTAGGTCATTATAACAAGTTGAGTTCTTCTCCGCGCTTATATTCCAATACTGCATGACTGTGTGTATGTATATATGCTAACACCGTCGTCTATAAATCCATCTCACCTCAAGAATCCGATCACATCACAAGAGGAACGAATGAGTTCTAGGGAAATACGCGGATCTTCGAAGGAGTTCGAGTCGCCGGGCCAATTCCTGGACTTCCATGTCTACAGGCACATGGAAGACGAGAGGCAGCTGGATGACGTACGCGAACAGGTAACTGTACCGAATTGTCGGTGTTTTCCGTTAGTTTTATAACGGTACCGCTTTCTGTATGTCGTGTTAGATGCCATGGGGGGACCTATTATGGTAAGATGTGGTTATGTTGCTCCACCTGAGGGACAAAATGTTGTTGGAGATATGGTTAGGGTTGCGGATCATGATAAGGGGTTAGGGATAGTGGTAAGGGTTAGGGGTTAGGGTAAGGGATTAGGGTTATGGGCTGGTGTTGGGGCTATGGTTAGGGGTTAGGGCAACTATTTCTCAACCAATCAAAGTATAACTGCATATTCCCAGCAGCTTTTATTTTGCATACAACTACTTGATCTATTCGCCTGTCTGTTACCCGGTCCCAGATGTAAAAACCCCTATTACCACCGATCCATATTACAGGTGTCTGGGGTCTGTTTACTTCAGGTGAGGCTACCTAACCCCATTTGGCCCCTTTTATTTGCCCGACATTTCAGGTGCCTTACAGCGATATCAGTTGAACGTATATTTAAGCAGCACTGTATTTTCTTTACCTAGGCCTTGCAGTTAGCCTTGTGCGTGTTTGTGAGGAACGACCGGCTGGTGGACTGCAAGTCAGACTCAGTAGCTTCTCTTGAGCCATGCCCCTATAGCACTCTTGTAAATGTGAGATCATAACCGCTAACCGCCTTTGGTGCGAAATCCCGGCGTGTAGTGCAGGAGGTCAGGTCATGTGTGTGGCACGTGCAGACGAACTGTCCAGCTCTGTCGGCCACTGCGCCCGATCTCTGCATCAGATAACTGGCCGGCTCGGCAGTGAACTGATGGCTGGGAGAGGAAAGAGTGAGTGAAGTTGATTCTGGGGACTCTATTCCCACAGCGGTCAGCACATTCCTCACCATAAACAAGCTGGCGCGCTCTTAGACTATCACGGCACATTAGAAACCGTGGTTTGAAAGGTAGTCAACCGACGAGATAAATCGGTTCTCCTCTCAGGAGGCAGAATCAGGAGAGCGCAAGTCTACCATCACTACAAACCAGTTCATTCGAAAGTCATTCTCCCTACACCCTCCTTGCTGCGGGGCACACGGTGGACATCGTCGGTAACGACGGCCGAACTGTCATACTGTTTTATCAGGATATTTCCACATGTTCGGTGATATTATTAGCTCGTTGCCGACAGCCACCACGGTCATGTCTGACGTCCTAGTTCAAGGACCCGTTGCGTCGAGGTTATTCGCCTTCTCAGAGAACGGTTCCAGACGCGCTGGCCTACAGCCACTCGACCGACTTCAACTCGGACACATATGCGTCCACAGAGTCGCAGCCGTCCAGGCACACCGCTTCCCCCGTGCGAATACAACACAAGCAATTTGAAAACTATCCCTCGACAAATCAACACACACCAAATTGACACCACTTCATATTGCTCCACAAACTTGCGAAAGCAGCTGCCTCCACTGTCTCACAACCCTCAAACATGACTGGGCGCAGTCAACACTGGCCCTGACTTCGTCAGCGACCACTGCCGCCTGAGAGGACAACTCGGGGTTCTGTTTACCGTTAACTCCTAAGTCTGGTGACTACTGTCTTTTCCTTACCAGGCTGGACTTGGCTTGAGGATTGCAGTGCTCTGTGTATACTCTCACCGCTTAGGCGCAACAAGCCTTCCCATTGCGGACATTATGCTCAGCATCACCTTCTTAAGTCACCTGCCAGTGTTTTCAACAGTTACTTTCGGGTAAAATAAAAAATAACCCTAGAATTTTCTTTGAACCACCAGTAGAGGACAAAAAACACCTGCAATGTGCAGGCGTGGGCGGACGTATTCAAAATGTTTGACAAGCCGGCTTGCACCCGTCCCCGATATTAGAATTTTAATGATGAATATAGTCAGTCAGACTGATGCCTGAGCCTGTTAGGAAAGAAGACTATATTGTCCAGTTGGTCAGAAACGTAGGTGTCGTATCCTCCTGTACTGTGGACTGTGGTAGCGGCCCTGACTAAGATTGGCATTGACACAGCATGTCCACTAAATCGCACCTCCCTTCTGCTTATTACCTGCAACCACTTAATTCTATCAAAAAATTTTATAGGTACGGACGCAGACCAAGGAGGTTAATGAAATAAAGAAGGCTCTGCTGCCACAGGTGTCTTCACGGTCTAAAACGTCCGAGTGCACATACACTCCATTCAAATCAGTGGTTTCAAAGTCTGTGCAGACGACAGCTGAAACCCAGGACGCCGAGGTCGGTGTACAAGTTCCTGGGGCAGTCGCAGACAGCCTTTGGTCCTCTCCGCATTCACCGCCAGACACATGTGGGTCTGAAAATGAGGCCAATGAGGAACTAATCAAGCCAACGTTCCGTGATAAACGCAAATACTAATTTAGGCGCGGTGATGAGCGACGGTTTCGTACTCGGAATTTACTCCGGTCAGCAGGATAATTGATGCACTTATTTTTGTAGGCCGAAAAGATAATTTACGGTATAACATGATCTTGGATTTACGACGTTGAATATTTTCTGACGAAACTGGATTGTAGGGTCGTAATCCACTTGTGGTCTTAATTGTAAACGGCGAACAGAACACAAGATATGGCCACCGTTATAGCACGAAGGTGTTTGTAGTCGAACCTCTGATCCCCACACTCTCGGTGCGTAAGCACAGTCGTGAGCACTATATGAATACTTTATGGACGCTACTATATCGTAGACACATTACTAGTGCATTGGATCCTGCCATAACTCCTTGCCGGCCTCGGATTTACAGCACCTTGAGCCAGTATATTGTATTCCCTACGATCTAAAGTGGGGCCCTAAACAAACGTCCAGATCATATTGCCTTTGTCAACACAAAGGAGCGTCGCAGCCAACATTTTTTGGCTTTTTAATTAGTCGTAGGTAGTGGGCCTTCATGTTGCTAGGGGAACAAAGTGGCATCGGGGATATGTTCGTCACTAAAGTAGGTGGTCAGGCAGTCAAAAAAGGAACTTCTCGCTGTGACACTGCAGTAAACAACTTACGATCTTTACTATGCTTGGGTGAAAGCTAAAAGTGGGAGTAGAGTGGGCATGGTTCTTGCACGAATTGCATGTAAAACGCGTAGAGATGAGCGCCAAGGTCAACTAAAGCTGCATGTAAATGAGTTACGGCAAGTGGTACCATGATAGGGGTCAAGTCAAACGACATCCAGCTGGTTACTGTGACGGTGCGCTGACCACGAAAAGGGCTTTGCATGGCATATAGTGCCCACAATAGCCCTAACTTAATTTAGGAACCTTTTCATAGGCCTGCCCACCCAGGTGATCGCGACACAAACCCTTCGATGTTGAAAGGGATTTCGATCAGATCACTGAACCACGTCCTGACTACAACGGGAACATAAGACTTGATCGGACGTTCTATTGTATGACCAGTGTTCGGCGGTTCGTCGTCAGGGTGTGGCCTTCTTAGTAAGCTAAATAAGTGGATCATTATTAGAGCGTACGTGACCCAATTACCTATGCGTGATCCACTAACAGGTCTATTGAGGTCAGTTGCCCGTCAGAGTTGTTGATACGGGCGAGAGCTATTGTTTTTGAGGTGCGAGGCGATGTTGACTGTTTAATCGGTGCAGAGTGTTTGAGGTTTCACAAAGGCATTATATAGTATCTCCAAGAGCTCGTTAGTATACATGGATAAGGAAGCCAAGTTTGGACGTACGATTCGCCTTAACATGACTCTGGGGGGAGGTGGAGGGGATACTCCCGTCGAGTCATTCTTGGACTCGGAAACAGGAAATAAAGTGGCGCGATTACTTCGCCCTCTGTGTGCATCACCAAAACCTGTTTCGCCGGCAACGTGGGTCACCATTTCAGACCGATTGATGCAATCAACTAACTTCCCGTCTGCCATCCTTTTCGGAAACCCCCTCGAGGTTTGTGCTTGCGACGGCAGGGCCATCTGCTGACAAATTGATCAGGAAATTGCTAAGAATGTTAAAAGCAGATCGAGCAGATGGGAAGGCTTGTTCCAGCACTTACGAGGCATCATGTGCCCGCTTCAAAAAAAACAACAACTCCAGACGGAGTTTAGTAGTCTCCGCTACGTCTTTGCATTTACTGCGTCTTGACGTCAGCGTTAACAAAGGATTCGAGGTTGGACACGCGAATAGGTACCCACCTCGTAACACAGGTGGCCTTGCGCGAAGTTCTGGGAGGTACCTATTCCCATGTCCTATAGCGTTCGATACTCGGTTGCAAAAACAGCCGAAATTTATATGAAAGAATGCATTTGAGAGCGACTTATAGACACAGTATTTGACATGAGAATAAGTCATAAAACGATGGTTAAATCGACCTCTTACGTAGTTTGTTGGATCCCTGCCTGCTTTCTTCAACGACTCGTCGCTAATTGATCCTACGGCAGCCGTCACATGCAAATGTGTGATTTTTCGCTAAAATTTCATCATAATGAATTAGAGCCAAGGCTCTTTGCCACGGAGTTTTTCATGGTCCTGTGCCGTTTTTGCGATTAGCCTACCCGCTCTTATGCTGCACTCTCACCGTGTTCCAGACAGTTCCTTAGAATACTGCTTCTTGGTGCCTCCGCGAGAGAGAGAAAGATGTCAGAATGCTCATCTTTCGTTTGTTCTCGGCTCCGGTTGAAACGCTGCGCAACAGAGATATTGACTAATATGAATCTGTCTAGCCCTTCTACCATATTCAGTTTGTGGATGGCTCTGAGGTAGGATGTAGGGCGTCATTGTTGTGTGAAAATGTAAAGAAAAGGAAAGAATGACATGTGGACGCCAAAGGAAACTTACCATAAACGTACATGCAAAATTAGGAAGCTATGGTAGTAGAAGACGATTTTTTAGGACCATCCTCTAAGATGCGCTTCGCACCGAGTCTGATAGGGAAATATTGTTAACGGGAATGTCTAAATTTCTTCAAAAAATCTCTGGGCAGACAACGGGAAGAAGCTTTACAATTCTGGCTTTAGGTATAGTCAAAATTCTACTTTTTCGTTCTCGGGCCAGACTGGCATTCTAAACGATGCCATGTGGGAAAGTGGAATTTCTATCTTATGAATTTTTGACTTCCTGGATTTTCGTGATTACTCCAGATTATTTCTGTTGCTGCAAGGAGTCTCCAGGTTTAGGTGGGATGATTCTGGTTACAAATAACTATGAAAAGAGAAGTGACGCCGTGCTGAAGCCAAGGAGTCCAGAGGGGGAAAGGTAGACCTCTGCCTATTAATAAGCAACAGTGTACAGTCTACGCATAGACTACGACAACGGATTAGCGTCTCAAAGGCCCAAAATCGTCCAATCTTTCAACACTTGCAACTGCAATTCAAGGCATGGACGGGCTTTGTCCAGAACCTCTAAATCCATCTTCATCTCAAATCGCCTATGTAAACTCCCTCGGCACACAATGTTCCTACCATCAGCAGTATCACGGAAGTCACCTGTTGCATCTTTTGTGGCTGAAACATCGTGGTCTACTTCCAACTCGCCCTCGCCGGACATCCATGCGCAGAGGACAACCGCGTACGCCCTAACCTCCAACACTGCTGCAATAATTACCGCCTCACCATCAAACATAGCAGAAACCCATCTTCAATGCAACTGCAAATTAAACACGTGCCTGCGTAGAAAGCCATCTGCGAACTTACCACGCAGTGGCTGGAGAACCAGTGGTTGCAGTTTCAACCTACTTTCACTACGCATACATTTCCTAATTGTATGAAACCAGCATATTCAGACACCTAATGGACCATTTGATCATGCCTGGAACGTGAGATAAACGAAGTAAAAAGTTCGGGCATCCAAACAGCATGAACTTTTCGACTGCCGCGAAAGACAGTGTTCATTGTTTGTCCCAAGAAATAGACGCAGGAGGGTGACTTGAGCATGAATTGGTTACTGCCCTTTTCGACCAAGACATTTACGTGGTATTTTGGTGGCTTGGTTTATTGGTAGGTCTTCAACTCTGGGAATAATTCTATCCAGGCCGACTTGGCTCTCTGAGTGGGTACTTGACGTAAGTGATAATGTTCTCACGGGCTAACGAATGATATATCATGAGCCCTAAGTGTTATGTATGCAAAACAAAAGATTAGTTGTAGACAGGACTCGTGTTGGGTACGGGAGACACACAAGTGGGGAGCCTTGTAGACACGGCTGGGTATATGGCAGAGGGGAAGTGTAATAGGCTGAAGGATGGCCAGTCAGCACTAAGGCTGTCTGAACGGGGGTACACGACCTTGATCGCGCGCATGTGGCGTGATGCCTAGACAGTCCGTACAGCATACTCTTCATCCTTCATAATGAACCAGGAGAGACGAGAAGGTAAGAGTCACCTATGCCTGTTCAAAAGCCCTTTGCTCGACCTTTAACCAGTTCCAGCGACGATTCTTTCCATGCAGTCGATAAAGAGGCTTTAGAATTGTAGCTGACTGATTCATAAAGTGACTAAATTGAGTAACCAACCAAAATAATGAAAGTAATTTACTGGTATTGTTGGGGTACGGTGTCGTCTTCAAGACTTTGAGCTTATGTTCAAGTGAATGGAGGCCAGTTTTACCCACTCTGAAACCCAGGTATTCCACCGAGTCTTCAAAGAAAGTACACTTATCTTTCCTGAGTTTGAACCCTGCGTCTTTTAAACATCCTAACACGATGTTTAGAGTCTCCATATGACTATGTTCGGATGGGCCGGTGACCAATATATTGTCATGATATGCGCAAACGTGATATATATCCTTCACGGGGCTATCAATCAAGCACTGAAAGAAACCGGGAGCAGATTTTAATCTAAATGGTAGCCTTTTTATCGGAACAAACCCCGATGCCTATTGGCGGTAGTGGTGTCTCTGGATTCAGTATCTAGAACGGCTTGGTTTTAGCATGCTTCAAGTCTTAAGTTGTAAATTGATGACCACCTAAGAGGGATGCGTACGGATCCCCGATACGCGAGAAAGGATAAGGGTTCAGTTTAGTTGCTGAGTTGATCGTCAGCTTGCAGTCTCCACAGGTACGCACAGAACCATCGGATTTAAGAACAGTAACTTTTGGGGCTGCCCATTCCGAATATTGCACGGGCTCGATAATGTCCGCTTTCTGTAGACGATCCGGCTCTTTTTTGACCTTTGGTGCGACTAGATAGGGAACCGTACGAGCTTTGAGGAACCGGAGCCGAAAATCTGACTGAAATTGGAACTTAACAGACAGACCGCGGTAGCAGGTAGTTGAACCGTCACGAAACAGTTCCTTATGATTTATCAAAATGGACCATAAAGCCGTGTTTACGCCAGTCCGATGTACATAGGATAGCACAGAAGGCACACATTTAATTCAGTGTAGATTTCAGACTTCACGGGATGGCGATCAACCGGAAACG